GTGGGTTAGGAAGCCCCAAAGCTGGTCCAGAGGGTAGGGCAGGGACCAGGCCTCGGCCTCGTGCTGCTTTGGGCCTTCAGGATCAACGCCTGCCGTGTCCTGGGGTTCACCCTTTTGCGTTAGGAAGGCCCAAAGCTGGTCCAGAGGGTAGGGCAGGGACCAGGCCTCGGCCTCTGTGCCAACTGGCAGCTGCTCAGGGGCTTTAGAAAGATCATCGTCCGCTGTGGCCGGGCCGGGGTTGCTGGATTGGTTAAAGCTGCTGGGCATCAGAAGGCCCATGCAGAGACACACAACCATGAGGAAAAGAGCCTTGAGCTTCATGGTGCCCCAAGGCAATCTCCCCGCTGGGTCTGTCACCCTGAGCCAACAGCAGACCAGCACCGAGCGGCCGCCTCGTGGGTCTGTGCTCCCCAAGGGTGGGTGATGGGACAAGTGCAGGGCTGATGTCAGGCAGGGCTCTGTGATGTCACAAGGCCTTTCCCCAGGTTGGGTGCTGTTCACCCCCAGGGGCAGCTGCCATGGAAACGGCTCCATGAGCTCAGGAGGACTGGTGTGTTGGCTGAGCCAGTGTGGCATTCAGAATGTATAGTGCTTGTCTCTAACAATCCAAGAGATAAGTGATGGACTCTGGCACTCAGGATATCTGTTGTGTGTCCTGTGGCATCTGCGAGTTAAAGACATGTCTCAGCAACCCACCCAACCGTTTTGCTTCCCCTCCCGTGATGTGTACCTGAGAACTGGGGAGTTTAGTGTGGGACATGCTGAGCTTGGAGAAAAAGGAGATCTGCAGCTGGCTCTGGGAGCAGGATATCCAGTGATAATCAGTCCTTAATATGGTATCTCATGAAACCACCAACGTAGCAGGACAAGACATAGAGTGCCGGTCTGAAGCTGCTTCCTAGGAGAAGAACTCCGCTGCAATAAACTAAGCCAGTTGTCTCAAACTCCTCTTTGTAATGCAGAGATCTCAAACGGTTATCCAAAGACTTATCTGCAGGACGTAACTCAGCACCATACCTACCCACTTGGCACCATACCTACCCACTCGGCACCGTACCTACCCACCCATCACCATACCTACCCACCCATCACCATACCTACCCACCCGGCACCATACCTCCCCACCCATCACCATACCTACTCACTCAGCACCATACCTACCCACCCGGCACCATACCTCCCCCCCCGGCACCATACCTCCCCACCCGGCACCATACCTGCCCCCCCTCCTATCTCGGAGGAGATGAGAAGACAGGAGCTTTTCCCTACCCAGGGAAAAACCTGGGGGTGCAGTGGGCAAGAACTGTATACAAATCTGGGACTCTGTGGGTGCACTGGAAGCACTTCCCCACCAGGAACCACTTCCCCACCGGCGACGTTGCTGGACCGTGGGTGGTAACCACGCTCTGCTTGCTGTCCTCTGCCTCTCTGCTTTCTCCTCTGTGTCCCTGCCTGTCCTAACCGCTCTAGGCACCTTTGCTGAGTTGCTCTAATAAAAGTCGGCTGGACCAAACTCGGAGCCGCTGAGAGCGAGGAGTGTGATGAGCCTGGAATTCTTGCTGGGCAGACGTGACCCGCGGGGGTCCTGCCCACGGAGCGGGACACAGGGGCACTGCCCGGGTCCCCCAGCAGCAGGGACGGGAACAGCGCATCCCCCTCCCGCAGCACCCGCGGGGGCGGGGACGGAAGGGGCGGGCGCGGGGCCGGGTGGTTTCCTGGCTCTTCCTGCCGCCGCGGAGAGGC